AATTCCGGGAAATTTTTTTTAAAAAGTCGTTCTGCAATGCGAGCCTCGTCTACAAAGATTTTTAAAGGACATCGTTGTTCGCAATGAAAGCAGAGTTCTACGTAAACCATACTTAAGAGCGCCAGTGGGTTCTAGTAAGAAAATTCTGACTACTGATTCAGGGCTAGCAACATTCCAAGGAAAAAAAATTGATGATTAACTTGAACTCAACGCCGGAGACACTCGCTTTTTACTTGCAGCGGGCCACCCTTTGAAGAAGCGGTAACGGAAGCTTTCTGAAAGTTGAGAGCATGAGAGGACAGATGTGAATATATGTTTGATTGACATCGACAACAAAGAGTAAGAGCAAGCAAGAAGTTTTTAAAAGTGTCTAATTTCGTTGCAAGACTTTCGGCCCAATCTGATATTTATTATGACTTCGATTTAAAATGTATTCACCATTAAAATCGACGAACCTTTAACCAATAAATTGGCAACATATGCGTTTCCTCCTAGAAGTCGCGCGCTTGCTGATTGGAAAAACTGGTCAGCTTCTGTCTAACATGAGGAGGTTGCGATGGTCAAAGCTCTTACTTTGTAGAAGATATTGAAGAGCTCCTAACATGTAGAAATCTAACTGTACAAAGTTTGGCGAATATGGTAAATAGCTAGTACTTCCTATTTTAGCTTGAGTACGGTTTTCAGACACTTTTGTAGCGTAGTGTCTAAGATTGCCTGTAACAGGTGCTCACTGAGGGCTTTGCGTTCGAGTTCCAGCTCAGTTGAAGCTGCTCAAATAGCGATTCGCTATTATACCGACATATGTGATAAAAGTCCTACTATACAAATTTTTACATTCCATCAAATATACTTTACATTTATTCTGCTGCAACTCCGCTGGCTTCTCCTTTGCTCACTCTCTGATGCTTCTCTGCTGCGTAAATAGGGCTCTCTTCTCTCCATGACGGTGGTGTCGAGATAGTCCGTTTGCGATAGTACTGGAAAAGAAGGTGCGCATCGAAAGCTGATACGATTTCGTAGGTAGGTAGATATGATTCCAATTCACTTAGGCACTTGTCCTAAGTTACAGAGGGGCCGTGTTGTGCTTTACTGGTTTGCAAGTTC